CTAAACCAACATGGCTTAATAACCTGCCATGTCTCGAGATTGGACTAAGTATTTGACTTCAAAAAGTTTTGATTAATGCAAAAATGAAATCAACATTTACCTGTTGATTACATACCCGCCGTGTGTGTGAAATCATGCTAACATATTTAGTTCATGATGGGGTTAGTCCCGACCCAGAGTGGTCAAATATGTCCTTACTTCGCTCGAGAGGTACACAAACCCCCAAACTTATTCTTTCACTCAGTTATCCCAGGGTTGTGTTTTAAAGTTAGGATTTTAGGTAACTGCAGTCCTTATCCTCTCTTAGTTTGGATATATCTCACTATCACAAGTTCACATGTCAACAAACGAAAGCTCTCCCAGATTTGATTGCTTCAATACTTAAGATTAAACTAAGTTACTAGACTCGCATCAAAGGTATAGTTTTTTCAACCAAATGTCCAAGGGCCTCTTGATGTTATCGTGTCTTTTCTCACTTATTTTCTAATAATTTTTTTTTTACGTCATCTTCTCATTTGCTTTCTATATAACCCCTGTAACAAGTTTTGGGCCGATGACTCCCAAACCAATTGATTTTGGGACATTAGATTTTGAAATATCCTACAGGCTTACTTGCTCGAATCATAAAGACATGGAAAATGTGTCCTATTTTCACAAGTTAGATTAATGCCCTTTATTATTTTTCTAGACATTTGGCCTCCTAAAGCAACCCCAAATTTAAGATTTTCACCTAATTTTTATCTCACTGGTCTAGGTCATCCACACAATAGAATTCATGCACGGAGCCCCCACTTATCTTAATATTTTCCTATGATAGCTCAACCATCTCCAAACCGTCTTAAGATGGTTTACTATTTGATTTAGTAGAGGGTTATCATTCCTTTCCTACTTTAGGTTCAAAACCCCAATCACTAACCTAACATGTCGAGCATGAGCGGCGTGCATAAAGAATGTCAAATATTACATTAATAAGTATTGGTTAATCTATTCAGCACCATATCCACAGTTTGTAATTTATACCGGTCCAATAATCACACCATAGCCGGCAAGGCTATCAAACCCACACAAACATGTAAGAATGGAAATACAGCAAACTGAATAAAATGCAAAGAATTTTTTTTTAACACTCATCAAGCACATAATATACAGTCATGAAACATAGATATTAATGAACATATGCAAAATGATGAAAAGATGTTCATGTCCAAGATTATGTCACCCACCCCCAAACTTAGATAATACATTGTCTTCAATGTGAAGATGAAATAAAAGTGTAAATAGATATAATTGAAGGACAATAATAAACTAAAAGCGCAAGATGGGATACGAATACTCCCCTGATCTATATGGAGGTGGTGAATGAAAACTAGGACATGCAGTGTTTCTCCTTACCCTATGACATTCTTTTTGGCGGCATCATGTAAAAGTGCAAAGTATGCGTATTAGTTCACATGGGTGTAAACAGATGCAACTGAGGCAAGAAATAACCTACGTAGTGTACAAATCCCCAAAACTTGCTTCAAGGTGCATATGTACATTGTTGGTGTGCAGAATGCATAATTTATGTCTCAACATAGAGTTTATATCACAAAAATGTGAATCACCAACGAAACTTCACTCAAAACATGCACTTTGTTCAATTTGACACGTAACTGACTAAAATAGGACTTCAACCTTTTGACTCGTGCTCAGTGCATTGGGACTCGTGTGGACCATGCCTAGACTCTATGTGATAGGGATGTATGATCGATGACCTAAAACTATTGATAATGCAAAAAAAATGAAAAATTCCTAAACAATTGCAAAACAAAGTAAATGAAAGGATAGAAACGTTGTGTTGCCTCCCAACCAGCGCTATTTTATAGTCAATAGCTCGACTTTTGGCATAGGTGTGTTATGGCACTTTAAATATGGCTTGGGAGGTCCTGCGTAGTTTGTTCAATATGGTCTTGTTCCGCATTACAGTTATCCTCCACACTTCAAACCTGTCCTTTTCCAAGTGGTGTGATTCTCCCTCATCATCCGTTTGAGACTCCACGGGGTATACCTTGATCTCCTTTGAGTCAATGAGAGTGAATTGATGTGCATCATATCGACCTCCTGAATGTCTGACGATTTCTTCAACTCATAATTGTAGGGGATTCCTATGTCAATCACATCAATCTGGAAACAGGTGTCTGGCTCGATGGGATATTTCATTGCTTTGAAAACATTAAAAGAGGTCTGCTCCTCCCCCAATCTCAAAGTCAATTGTCCTTGTTGCATATCTATGAAAGCTCTTGCGGTTGCCAAAAATGGTCGCCCCAATATGATAGGCATGTCCTTGTCTTCTTCCATGTCCAGAATTAAGAAATCAGCTAGAAATATAAGTTTATCCACTTTGATCAATACATCTTCGATAATCTCTCGTGGATGTGTAAGCGATCGATCAGCCAGCTGTAGAGTTACTGTAGTTACTTTAGGCTCTCCCAATCCTAGTTTCCTGAAAATAGAAAGTGGCATCAAGTTAACACTCGCACCAAGATCACACAATGCTTTATTAAAATAAAAATCACCAATTGTGCAAGGGACGGTGAAACTCTCTCGATCTTTCAATTTTGGTGGGAGCTTTTTCTAGATCCTGGGGTTGCTCTCTTCGGTATACATCACCGTTTCATGTTTCTCTAACTTGCATTTATTTGTTAAAATGTCCTTCAGGAACTTGGCATTCAACTCTACGAGAAAACCAGTAGTAGCACTCAAATTCAAACAATTTGAGGAACTATAATAAAAATAAAATAAAACAACCTAAACGAAAATAAATAAAAAATAATAAAAATAAAAATTTAAAGTTCGAATTAGTACCTAGAAAAATGAAACTAAACTAAACTCAATTCTCGGTAACGGCACCAAAAACTTGTTCACGAAATATTTTCTTTCGATTTAAATCACTGCAAGTGTACGGTTCGTTAACAAGTAATAAAGTGGATCAATTGAGTTCGAATATCGTCTCACGAAGATTGATTAGTTTAATTTTACCTAACTTGGCCTGAACCGAAACTGATTTGTCAAACATGAATTGTAGTGACTTAAATTAACTTTACTTGGACTAAATATGCAAATATGTGTGATTTGAATGAACTAAAATGCAAAGTGAATGTGTTGAATGCAAGTTGATGTACTCAATGAATATAAAAGTGCACTAGGATCACGAATTCTCAAGTAATGCTCAATTTAACCTTAATTCCACACTTTGACAACACGATGATATTTTGAAAAATCAATACTCCTAAATCTATCCAACACTCTCATTCGAGATGAATTGCACATATTCTTATACACCACCAGCCTATATCTCTATGACAGATGCAAATATACGAGAATGCGTGTAGTTTTGTGAGTACTTAGAGATTCACGCAAAGTATAAGGCTATATTTCTATCCCCTATCGGACCCTACGATGATTTATACCTTGTCGAATTTATTCCTCTTCCTTCGAATAGATGAAACAAACCACCAAAACTCACACAATTACGAGCCCATAATCATGGAAGCAATTAAATGCATATAAATCATTCAAAACAATCAATACGTGTTTTAGTGTCAAAATACGGAACAAAGAATTAAATATCACATTACAAGGTTCATCGATCTCCTAGTACAGATTTTTCTAGCCTAACATGATGGGAAGAAGAATATAACAATAAAAATCAAGAAAAGACATTACCCTATTGAAATTCTTGAAGTGAGATCTTGAATCTTGAATTGAATCTTCTTGTTCTTCCTTCTTCTTGCTCTTCAAATCCTCCCAAAATAATGTATAATGCGTGGTGTCTGTTTTTGGACGTCCCTAAGGTTTTAAAAGACTCCCAAGATTTGTTTCCATAAGAGTTTTAATCAGAAAAAGAAACCAGAAAATTTTCGCCGCGATTGGCCTGGGCTGTTGCTCAGGCAAAACCTGGGCTATCGCCCAGGCCAACATTTTCTTCTCGGTAATAAGAAAAACATAAGGGGCGATTGCCCAATTTTTATAATTGGGCTGTCGCACATGCAAAATTTCTTCCACGTGTTGCATTTTAGCCCTCGAAGTCAATTTTTTATTCTTTCAAGCTCTTTCTCTTCCAATTTCAACTCTTTGACTTTTATTTGCATCCAATTAAAACCCGCAATATCTTTAATCTTCATTTTGTGATCCGAATCAACTATTGAAATATTGTAATTTAGTCCTCATACTTTGGATTTTCTTCTTTTTTGGTTCTTTTTCGTTTCTTTTCTCTTGAATTCCACCACATTCATCAATATAGTCCTACAAAACATAATTACATAGAATTAAGCCATAATTCAAACTCTTTGATCATAATTAAGTCATGTTTGTGAACTGAATAAATGTGTAAAAACACACTTATCAGCCATGATAAAGTTCAACCATAAATATAACCCTTTCTATCATTTTTCCTTATGTATTGAATGAAATATTTCTTTACAAATTATTTTATTTGTTTTCATATTACTTTTTAGTTACGCACAACATTTAAAGAAGGCGGAAATGAAACCTCAATGACAAACAAATGTATTTGGACAATCTTACCCTTGCCTTTTGAAGATAAAAAACTCATTTTCTTTGATTTAATCATTTTAACGGGGAGTGGATGTAGGGATATTTTGCGCAATAAAAGGCAAAGATGGTAGTGAAATTGTCAAAAAATGAAAGATAAGAACGTTTTTCACAAAAATCTTGAAAGGTAAGAACGTTTTGTACCAATTAGCCTTAATAAAATGTTGAGTATGAGAAAGGATAATTGAATGGAAAAAAAATTACCACAGAAAAATTATGAACCGAAGTTAAATTTACCTCACTGTAAATAAATCCACAGGAATCATATCATTATTATTTAACACCTCATACTATATTAATTTGGTGAAATCGTTTTCTTTTCTTCAGAAAAGAAAAACATTAGACAATTTTGTTTGATTTCAATCCGCTATTAAAATTTCAAAACTCAATATTTCCCTAAATGCACATCTGCATTTAAAAATAAATAAAAATAAGCAAACATGTTTCTTGCACTGAAGTCAAACGAGCGAAAACATGTACCAACTAGAATTCCAAGAACGGAAAAGATAAAAGAAATTTGGGACAATTGTCCTCATTCAGCTTGATAAACAAAACCAAGAACCCGGTTCTTCAGTAAGACATTACTAATTATCGAACCAGCTGAACCAAAACTCCATTATCACTTTCGTGCCAGCCTCCCGCCTGTTTGGATCCAAATTTTAGTCACAACATCTTAGTGTCCATACAAATAGCTTAACTTACAAAGCTTCTCGGTACTGCTATTAACAGCTCAAATGTTTCTATTTGCCTGTTGGCGGCAAAAAGGACCAGAAGACTGATTCAGCAAAATCCCATCTTGCATGCGATAGTTCATGCCTTTACGCAGCAAGTACAAGAAATCATAATTAGAGGCAAATTTTACGTTGCAAAGGTTTACCTTTGTAGAGATCCACGAGGAAATGTTCAGGTAAACTTGCACAGTCTGGGCAATACAGCAAATAAAACTCACCAGCTTTGTTTTCTGGTATTCATACTCCTGCATATTCTTTAAACATGAAATCCTTGCACTCTCTCGAACCGTCTAATCATCCTAGGAACTGAGGAGAGCATCAATTATAAGTTGAGAGAGAACTGAATTGGCAGAATCTCTTGTGAACATCAAATTATGACAGTGAAGGAACAAAAACTCAATTAATACTTGCAAACATAATTATCACCGGAGTAAATTCAGGTAGTAAGATTTAAGGCATGGGACTCGTGTAATTGTCCTTGAGACGCCAATCCAGGAAACTGGCCAATATCATGTCCATTAAGAGGACGAAATTCATTGTGCAACCCAACGGCAAACTCATCTGGACATGTTCCACCACTTTGGAGGTAATCTGCAATCTGCATGAATTACAAAAATAGATCTTTCAATTTCAAAATGCTAATGTTATAATTGCATTTTATATGAAGGAAGCCACTTAGTAGAATAAAGAAAGAAGGCCGGAAATTCAAGTGACTTGCATGATTAGCAAGAGCCATGCCACTTAAAGCTGCAGCTTCTAAGCTCGATCCCAATAACCAATCACCACATATGCCAGCCCTTCCTTGAGGATCAAAGATGCAGGGGATGCCAGGAGAATTAGTGGGAAGAGCTGCACCCCTGTAAGTTATGAAACTATATAATTTGAGTCATTGCAATCTAATTAAACAAATGCTTCCGCATATGGAAAACATTAAACACATCAAGATGGCAAAATGCAGAATCATTGTTTCTTTTAGATGGAGGTCCCAAATTGAGCACGTAACTCATATCTAAACAGCTGAGACAATTAAACTGTTTTACATGGAGGTCTCAATTGAGCATCTTGTCAACTGTAGTGAGCAACTCAACCGCTCCCCTGACTACAACAGCATATAGTTTCATCTTTTCTTTAAATTTGACTGGGAAGAAGAGAAAATTTAACGAGTAATTTGACTTGGCCTCGATTGTAGCTTTTCTTAAAAAATTAGAAGTGGATGTAAACACTTAACTGACCTCAGATTTGAATATTCCGCGACAATTTTTTAAGCACTATTGATTAAATTCTACTGGAAATAGAATCAATGCTAGAACGAATTGACTAGAATTAATTTGAAGTTTGTCACTGACATTAGCTCACTGTATCATTGTGCATCTTCCAAATTAATCCTAAAATAAACGAGTCTTGGAATAATTCTGATTAGTTAAACAATACATGAGGTCTCATACCATAACTGTACACGACTATAGAAAGGCTTTTTGAGTGAGCATTTTCGTAGTCCTAATGCTTTCTCAACACCTTCAAGCATCAAGTCCATCACCTTTTCTGCTGCAGCAGTCGGGATACTTTCCTGATAAACACAAATGAATTGGTATAAATAAAAGCCCGAGTAATTTGAGCCCATGATGCTGATATTATTTGGCAATGCTTTTTTCTGGCAACAGATTAATAATTCAGATACTGCACAAGGCAAGATTCTCATTCCTGTGTTCATCAGATGTGGACTTCTGGCTCACAGACCGTATCCACGAATAGTATTAGCATTATCATTGACAAGGGAAAATAACATTGTATGAGAGCAAAAGTGAATAAACCTTTTGCTTATTATTTGGCATAATAAACAAAGTGAACTTTGCTACCAAAATCCATAAACCGACTAAACAGAATTTGAGGAAAGATTATCATGTTTATTACATCATTGGAATTTTGTTTTCCGTTTACTATGTCAACATAATCCGCGAGCAAAATACATATTCTAGCATGTTTTTTGCTTAGAACTGAAAACAGTTCACCAACTTTTAGCCCTTGTTTGAGCCCCATTTTGGGGGGAAAATGCATTTTTAAATAATGTATTGATGAGAAACGTGTGGTTAAAAAATAAGGAAAAGTTTTGAATTTGCGTGTAATATTATTTTATTGAAAGATGTGTAGTTGAAATAATGTCAAAACACTGTTGAAGAAATGCATTTTTTCCAAAGAAAGGGGCCCAAACAAGGGCTTAATCAGCCTTTTCTCAAAAGGAACAAGCCTCTGTAAGTGAGTGAAAAATAATCACTTAACTGACCTGAGGAACTTTATTCTGCTTCCCAAACGTTGCCGTGCTGAGAAAGGTCCAGCATTCAAGGCCAGTATCTTGGGAACTCAAAAGTTTCTTGGTGTTGTTTGCCATCCATGAGAGAGAATCAACACCTTTAACAAATGCTCCTTCAAAAGGGAATGCAGATTCCGCGGAAGGGACAGGAACAGGATCTTCAAATGCTGCAAGAAGTGCCCATATAGAACTCAAATCCAGACTCTGCAGATATGAGATTAAGGTTAAGAAAATAGGAACAAAATGCAGATGGTAGTTCTTTAAGGTCAATAGAAACTGGATTACATTCCTAAGATTACCTTCATTTGTCTAGCAATTAATGGTAAGCCTGATGAAGCAAGCAAACGATTCGCACATTTTCCTGGTATCAAGTGGTAACACAAGCTGTGAATCATACATTTTCCATTTCTCAAACTAATGAACTTGTTCATCTGGTGTACCATAAAGAAGTCATGCAATGCAAAATCTGCAACCAACTTATAAAAAATTTACATATTGCACCAAAGCCTTCAATTTCCAGCCTGATATTACACAAACTGTGACAAAATGTATAACATGCAGACAAGAATGACAAAGCCAAGCTTCATCATTTCATGCCCAACTAAAAGTAAAACAGGCATCAGAAGAAAGAGAATCTCTAACCTAGGGAATATAAATGTCACAAAATGAATATCAAGTCATAACGTTGAAATTCATCTAACAATTCTTGGCAATCCATGAAATGGAACCAGATTGATAAATTGTCGAAATTTTGAAAGCATATAGTCTGGTGATTATGAGGTATCACTTTTGAATATATACAGTGTCACATCTGGGAGCCAAACATAAACAACTGAACCAATTCAACTTGAGAAAATCAGCCCAGAACTACAAACATGAACTAAAGGTTCGTCTGCACAATAAGTACCAGAGTTCAGTTCATACCAATTGATACAAATGGATATAAAACTTTAACTTTGATGTAAAATGTAAAAAGGAGAAGAAGTTTATATGAAGAGACGGAAATAGCTCTAACAAGTTTTCCCTTGAACTACAATATGTAGTGTCAAATATGTGCTTCCTGATCTATGAATAAGCTATAGATGATGTTTGACAGAATTCAGAGAAGATTTCAACTTCTTGAACAATGATTTCCAGAAATTATTCCAAAATTGACTCCAGAGATCTGTAAGGGTTGAAGCTTTTTACATACTAAATGCAGGCAAATTGAATGACTAAACAACACTGGAGTAAAACAAATTACCATTGTGTGCAATAACGATGGCATCAAACTGTCCACAAAGTTCCCCCTTCTCACTCAAGTACCATTTCCCATTATACGGCTCTAGTGCACTCACCCAGCAAGGCCGTACCACATCCACCATAGATGTCTGCAGCATGGAGAATATCAACTTATATAGTAAACTAAAAATCACCACGTATAGATGGTAAATTACAAGGCAGGCCAAACAAGCATGTATATAAACCTTGTTCAGAGATTAATTGGTGTCAAAATGTGCAGTTTTTGACAGCTCAAATCCTTAGTAATAGATTATGCGGCAAATTTCTGAAATAAAATTTTGAACTGCTAAAACCATCCAAATTTCTAACGAGCTTTAAGCATTTTAAAAATATGGCCTTTTCAAAATAGAGAGAGAGAGAGAGAGAGAGAGAGAGAGGCCCCATACAGGAAAAGAACCTGCAATATTAAAAGATCACAATGGTTCCATTGAATTAAGGAGCATCCTTCCACAAACGATTCAGAGGCTCGCAACATTTTTCAAACGCATTGATAAAAAATGTTCAAGGATAACAGAAATATAAAGAGAGCGAGAGAAGCCCCATACAGGAAAAGAAACTGCAATATTAAAAGATCTTAATGGCTCCATTACTACCAATATTCTACAGAACCTATAGAGAAAAATTAAAACTGCCAATTGCATCATTGCAAAATGAGTGTCTTCCCTTAAAAAAAATTTAAAAAAAAAAAAACTTCGGGTGCTTGCCTGTTAAGGTCATAATCAAATGTCATATGTTGTGAGATAAGAGGGTAACTTTAAGTGATAATGGTCCCCCTAAAAAAATAAAATAAAAAGCAAGTGTGGGTGGGGGGTAATGGGGAATGGTCCTCGGTAGATGTAGTGAAAATGCATATGGGACAGGATATTATCAAATATACTTCTATTGAGCTGACAGAAATGTACAAAACAGAGATACGTCACTAACAAAAACACTGTAAACATTCGATATTCACCTGAGACAATATGGAATCTGCAAGAGGGCGCATTCCATTAACGCCTATATATCTTGGAGGAGAAGTAGGAAGTGGAGCAAACCGTCCGCCAACTTCAAGCTCTCCGATTATACCCTGCCATTGACGAACCAGACCTTTCCTGGACCAGTCATCAACCATCTCAGCAAACTTAGGGTCAGTAACTGTAAAGAACTGAGCCGCGTGGTCAAATATCAAGCCCTCAGGATGAATTTTTCTGGTTCCCATTCTTCCTCCCAACCCACGAAGTCCCTAATGTAGCTAACACAATGAGAAACTCCATAAACTTACTGTCCTACTTTTGCATTGTCTGAAACATCGGAAAAAGGAAAATATACAAAAATATTCACACAAATAATGTACTATAACGATTTTGTAAAAAATTCCCTACATTTGCAGCCTTAAACGCTACCCTAAAAGAAGTTCCAAGAATATATTGACTTAAACAAATAAAAATTTGCCAACTAGATGAACACATGCTGAAACTCAAGGATGCAACGGGATATAGTTCCTCAGTGAGGAAAAAAATTAAAATCGAAAGTGGTAAATATTTCTTGAATTCTAATCACTAACTTTGTATGTCAGATGCTGCTCAAATTCAAATGCTATCCAATCTCTAACATTCATAAAATCAGATGGAGATTCGGGTCATCATAAATCATTTGATTTAAATATATCAGTAGCCCGATATAATAGCATCGAAACTCCTAAAATTGATTACAAATTTTTTTTTTTTAAAAAGCGTATGTTAGATAATGTAAAAATGAACAGAGGATAAACAACCAACCGTGTCAAAGACAGTGGATTTAATCCCTCTTTTCTCCAAATAAAGAGCACACGCGAGGCCGGACATGCCACCTCCAATAATTCCAACAACCGGGTCATCCGAGACCTGACCGGTGAACACCACCTGCTCTTGGCTAAAGCTTTTCTTGATGGCAGACCTCCTGGAGGTTCCATATGACGGTTTCTTTCTCGGGTTCCTGGAGGGATTATTCATGGGCGGTTTTCCTTTCTTGTGGGGTTTACTATTGATTTTGTTATTGTTGTTTGAATTGCTGCTATTAAGGGTGAGGGCACAGTGGATGTAAAATGGAATTGTGGGTTTGGGAGTACGAAGTGGGAAGGAAATGCAGAGCATCGTTCCGGGTGGCTTAGTGGAAGAGATGAAGGACGCCATGAATTGGTGGGAAACGGAGAGAATGGGAGGATAAAGTGGGACGAGTGGATATTACTGGAGAATGTTGTCAGAGTAAATAATTTTTGAATGGATGGAAGTTACTTGTAGGAAAGTAGGAAGAATTGAAGAAATATGAAATAAAAACTATAATTTCTTTTTATTTTTAAAGTGAAATGTAACATTAAACTTCGAGAAATTGAATAAAATTTAAAAAGAACGTTGTGATCCACAAAATATTTTGTATTAACGTATTTCTTTATTTGAATTTGAAGATATTGATACTTTTAAGGATACTTTTTCAAAAAACAGTAATTAAACACAACTCTTCCACCTTCTACGATCATTGGTTTGTAGAATTTGTTTCTAAATTTACTTAGAATTAGTGACAAACGTAGACATTTTTAGTTAGAAAGGCACTATCGAACTTGCAAAAAAATTGTATTACTTGAGGAATTACATTTATACATGCTTTGAATGATAACAATAACAGAAACTTGAGAAAATTTAACAATTATAGTTGATCATTTTATCTTAAAGCTATCCTACCAAGGAGGAGTTATTTGACAAGACTTTTACCACGCGGATCGCACTTGGTGTACAGGGGTCATCTTCCAAGCCCTTTACAGGGGCAACATGGAAATGTTAAAAAATAAATAATGAAAATGAAAATGAAACAAAGATGTGTCTCATTTGTTTCTCCATATCCGTCCTCTCCATGACCTTATCAATGAAGCACTAAATCCCTCTCCATCACCGCGCTTATCACCTCACTATCTCCGACCACCAATGACCTACGAGCACAATAAATCCCTGTCCATATAGTTACCATATTAGGAAAACTACACAGCAACCCCAAAACCATTCGACTCGACTTCCATAAGTAGCGAACTCGTAGGTTATGTTGGAAAAAATGATTATGAAATGGGTCAACTTTGAGCCCAAATTTCAGTAGGACCCACTTTTTAATTAATACGGGACCTAGCATATTCACGTTCTACTCCGCGAGATGATTAACGTGATATATTTATTTGTCGAAAACCATTTAAAATTGAATGAAATATTAAGTGTTAAAGTAACCAACATAAAACTAAGTATTATGGAAGAATTTGATTTTCCAAACACTTATCTCACATAGGAAAGTTATGAAACTTTGGTGTGGTTTATAAGGTGGAAGTTTGGAATTGGGTTTAGGCCCTAAGAGGTATTAATAGTCTTTGGAAGGGGAAAGACCTATATCCTATTGGGTTCGGTCATAAACCCACACGCGCGAGTCGCCGTCCATCCGACCGGTCGGCTCGGCTCGGCTTGACACGGTACGAGCACGTGCCCGTGTCCGAGTCCGGTCCGGGTCGGATCGGGTTTGGGTGCAGGTGCGCATTTGCACTATATTAACTTTTTAGGCAAAATTTATTTAAAATTTTGGACCAAATTGTAAATAATCAAATTTTTGGGTACATTATGAAATTTAAATGTTTGGCTTATTCCGGGTGATTTTTTGGTCTGGATAGAATGTTTAACAGTCGTCTGTTAACCGACCAAACAGTCGATTGTTAGCCTACTGTTAACCAACTTAACAAATGCGACTTTTAGAAACATGTCTGTTCCGAATTTTTTAGGTTTGTCTGAAAGGTGACGACTATTCGAATGACCACGAATAAGTCTATAAATAGCTTACCTCTCTACCAGAAAATTTACACAATTTTCATTGCAAACTTTCTGTGGTTTGAATTTCATTCCCCTCTCTCTCGTTCTGATATTGTCTCGAAGTAAAACACACTTCGTTGAGTTCATTGGAACTCCTGCAGATTGCAGTGTTGCTTTCGTAGGAGACAAAAATTCGTTCTATCCTGAAAAATAATTGATAGACGTCTTTAGCGCCATTGAAGGCAGCAAATTCGTTTTAAGGAAATATCGTGAAGTCGATGGGCTCGAATTACATTTTGGATCCTATTGATCATTTCTTATATTCAGGTAATTCTATCGGATTGGTTTCGAAGGAGTAACTTCAAACTCTAGAAACAACAATCTTAAAACGAATTTTTATTATTATTTTATTTCTGTTACTTATCCTTCTTACCGTTGATCTTCTGATTGTATTTCAGAAATAGCAACTTCTGGTACCACACTCCCGAATACGACCGGGGAAAAACCAAAAAAAATTAATGGGCCAGATTTCAAGCGTTGGCAACAAAAAATACTTTTTTATTTGACAACATTAAATCTGGCTAAATTTCTCATAGAAGATGCGTCTTCATATACCGAGTAAGACAGCGATGCAGAAAAATTGGTTGCGGTTGATGCATGGAAGCATTCTGATTTCTTGTGCAGAAATTATGTACTCAATGGACTAGATAACACATTATATAATATCTACTGCAATGTTAAGTCTTCAAAAGAACTGTGGGAATCTTTGGATACAAAGTACAAAATCGAAGATGTCGACACGAAGAAATTCATTATCGATCATTTTTTTAGACTATAAAATGGTTGACAGCAAGACTGTCATATCCCAAGTTCAAAAACTAAAAATTATATTTAGCGACATCCATGCCGAAGGAATGAAACTAAGTGAATTATTTCAAGTCGCTGCACTGATTGAGAAATTACCACCTTCATGGAAGAATTTCAAGAATGACCTAAAGCACAAGCGGAAGAAAATGAAATTTGAAGATATCATTGTCCGATTGAGAATAGAAGAAGACAATTGCAAAACTGAAAAAATTAATGTTGCATCTCTTTCGATGGAATCAAAAGCCAATATTGTAGAAGGAGGCTTCAAGACCAGCAAAAAGAGGAAGCACAATGGGGAAGGACAAATTGGTTCTTCAAAAACTGTTAAAAAGTTTAAAGGCAACTTTACAATTGTGGCAAGACAGGACATCGATCCAAGAATTGTCAAAAGCCAAAGAACGTAAAGAGAAAAACTCACCAGGCCAATGTAACAGAACATGAGAACCTCACCGATAAGGTACAAGACATGAATTTTTCTGCGGTCGTCTCTGAATGCAACTTAATTGGAAACACTAAAGAATGGTGGGTGGATACTGGAGCTACTCGTCACATATGCTCGAACCGCGAGATGTTCTCTACCTACAAAGCGATGGATCACGATGAAGATCTCTACATGAGAAACTTGTCATCTTCCAAGGTAGAAGGACGTGGGAAGATAGTGTTGAAAATGACAAGTGGAAAAGAGCTCACTTTGAATGACGTTCTTCATATGCCCAATATTAGGAAAACTTGGTATCTGGTTCTCTACTGAGTGAGAATGGGTTTAAGTTAGTATTTGTCTCAGACAAATTTGTACTCTCAAAGAATGAAATGTTTGTAGAAAATGGCTACTTGAATGAGGGGCTCTTTAAGTTGAATGTAATAACTTTTGTACCTCCAATTATGAATAAGAATACATCTTCTTCTTACTTGCTTGAGTCATTTAACATTTGGCATGGACGATTAGGACATACAAGTTATAACACTTTGAGTAGACTAATCAAATCAGATTTATTACCAAAGTGTGATTTAAATCCTAATCACAAATACGATATATGTGTAGAAGCCAAAATGTCACGTCTACCCCTTCGTTCTGTTGAAAGAAGTACTGAACCCCTAGACTTAATTCACACTGATATATGTGATTTAAAATTTGTTCAAACTAGGGGAGGTAATAAGTACTTTATCACTTTTATTGATGATTATACTCGATATTCCTATGTGTATTTGCTCAAAAGCAAAGACGAAGCAATTGAAGTGTTTAAACACTACAAGTTAGAAGTTGAAAATCAACTTAACAAAAAGATTAAGGCCATAAGAAGTGATAAAGGTAGTGAATATGATTCACCATTTGATAAATTCTGTTCAGAACACGAAATTATTTATCAAACTACCGCGCCTTATTCTCCTCAATCTAATGGTATTGTTGAACACAAGAATCGAACATTGAAGGAGATGATGAATGCTATGTTAATAAGTTCTGGATTATCGCAGAACTTGTGGGGTGAAGCCTTGATTTCTGCCAACTATATTCTTAACAAACTACCACATCGAAAAACACAAAAGATACCTTATGAAGTATGAAAAGGTCACAAACCTAATTATAAATACTTGAAGGTATGGGGATGTTTGGCTAAGATAGTAGTTCCTAAACCTAAAAGGGTTAAGATAGGACCTAAAACCATTGATTGTGTATTCATTGGTTATGCATACCACAGTAATGCGTACAGATTTATGGTATATAAGTCTGAAATGCCTGATATGCATGTTAATACGATTATTGAATCAAGGGATGCTACATTTTTCGAAAATACTTTTCCTTATAACATGCAAGGTGAATCAAATTCACAAAAGAGATCTCGTGAAAATGAAGAGACTATAGATCAAGAATCTATAAATGAACAACCTAGACGAAGTAAGAGGGCTAGGACGTCAACCTCCTTTGGGCCTAATTTTCTAACATATTTGTTAGAAAATGAACCTCAAAGTTTTAAAGAGGCTATGTTATCAACCGAAACTTCATATTGGAAAGAAGCTGTTCATAGTGAAATTGAATCCATACTACAAAATCATACTTGGAAATTAGTAGACCTCCCTCCCGATAATAAGCATTTGGGATGTAAATGGATTTTCAAAAGGAAAATGAAAGCAGACGGATCAATTGACAAATATAAAGCAAGACTTGTCGCTAAAGACTACAAGTAAAAAGAAGATCTTGATTATTTCGATACATATTCTCCTGTGACAAGAATCACTTCCATACGTATGCTTATTGCAATAGCAGCATTGAATGGTCTGGATATACATCAAATGGATGTTAAAACGGCGTTTTTGAATGGAAAATTAGATAAAAAAATTTATATGGAACAACCTGAATGATCTGTGGCCTCAGGACAAGACAAGAAAGTGTGTCAACTTATTAAATCACTATATGAATTAAAACAGGCTCCTAAGAAATTGCATGAAAAATTTGACATGATTATGATGTCAAATGGTTTCAAAATTAGCGAGTGTGACAAATGTGTTTATGTCAAGAACACTCCAAATGGATTTGTCATGGTATGTTTATATGTAGATGACAGGTTGATTATGGGTAACAATGATACCATAATTCAAACTACAAAAAGGATGCTAATAAATAAATTTGAAATGAAGGATTTTGGTGTGGTCGATGTTATATTAGGAATTAAAATTTCTAGAACATCTGATGGTCTCATATTGTCTCAATCACACTACATTGAGAAGATTCTGAATAAATTCAAGAAATATGATATTATTCCTATGAAAACACCTATAGATGTTAGTATGCATCTTGTTTTCAATACTGGTGATAGTAAGTCTCAATTGGAATACTCTCGTATTATTGGCAGTTTAATATATATCATGAATTGCACTTAACCTGATATTGCCTATTGAATAGTAGGCTAAGTCGATATACAAGTAATCCAAGCACTGATCATTGGAAGGCTATTGTTAGAGTTTTAGTGTATTTAAAACATACCCAAAATTTTGGATTGCACTATTCGAGATATCCAATAGTACTTGAAGGATACTGTGATGCAAATGGGATATCAGATACTAAAGACTCCAAATCAACAAGTAGATATGTCTTTACACTTGGAAGTGCTGCAATATCATAGAAATCTTCAAAACAGACATGTATAGCTAGATCAACAATGGAAACTGAATTCATTGCATTAGACAAAGTCGGAGAAAAAGCCGAATGGCTACGAAACTTTCTAGAAGATATTCCATGTTGGACAAAACATGTGCCTGCTATATGTATCCATTGCGATAGTCAATCAGCAATTGGTATGGCACAAAATGCAATGTATAACTGTAAATCTCGACATATACGTCGTAGACACAATATTGTTAGACAGTTGCTCTCTAGTGGCATTATCTCTATAGAGTATGTGAAATCAAAAGAGAATATTGCGAATCCGCTAACTAAAAGTTTAACAAGAGAGCAAGTCGAAAGTTCATCGAAGGGGATGAGATTAAAACTAATAAAATAATCAAAAGTTTCCATGGTGGCAACCCAACCTAGTTGACTAAAGATCCCAAGATCTAGATTCAATGGGACAACCGAACTGTGAAAAATTTAGTATGCACTGGGAAGATTTTACTCCTACCCATTCTTATGATGAACCAGTACCTAGCTGCCGCGAAATAGGTTAAGATACGCTTTTAATGATTTCTATATCTTGATTCGTTCAAGTGAAATACAGCAGAATACTCTTTATAGAAATCACCTATGTGAGTGAAAAGGGGTCGCTTCTAAGAGAATTAGGTGATGATGAATTCTCTAAAAACCATTCATGAACCAAGAGGTGTCCAAGGCCAAAATGGACACAAACGTTAGAACCAACTGTATTCGAAGAAAACTGTGTGACTTCTATTGTTTAGGTTTCCATAAACGGCTGACTCTTCAAAGCAACTTGCTACTGATTGGCTAAGGAAATCCGATAGATTTTACTAGGGAAAGTTCAAAGTCATTGACTACTCATCCCGATACAATCTTCTTCAATTTTTACTTTGAAAAAATATCAGATGTTATCGTTTGGAAAAAAGACCAACATATTTCATTCGTGTGGAGGATTGTTGGAAAAAATGGTTATGAAATGGGTCAACTTTGAGCCCAAATTTCAGTAGGACCCACCTTTTAATTAATACGGGACCTAGCATATTCACGTTCTACTCCGCGAGATGATTAACGTGATATATTTATTTGTTGAAAACCGTTTAAAATTGAATGAAATATTAAGTGTTAAAATAACCCACATAAAACTAAGTATTATGGAAAATTTTGATTTTCCAAACACTTATCCCATATAGAAAAGTTAGGAAACTTTGGTGTGGTTTATAAGGTGGAAGTTTGGAATTGGGTTTGGGCCCCAAGGGGTACCAATAGTCTTTGGAAGGGGAAGACCTATATCCTATTGGGTTCGGTCATAAACCCACACGCGCGCGCCACCGTCCATCCGACTGGTCGGCTCGGCTCGGCTCAACACGGCACGAGCACGTGCCCGCGTCCGAGTCCGGGTCGAGTTCGGGTGCAGGTGGACCTTTACACTATATTAATTTTTTGAACAAAATTTATTTAAAATTTTGGGCCAAATTGTAAATAATCAAATTCTTGGGTATACTATGAAATTTAAATTTTTGGCTTATTCCGGATGATTTTTTGGTCTGAATGGATTGTTTAACAGCCGTCTGTTAACCGACCAAACAGTCGACTGTTAGCCGACTGTTAACCAACTTAACAGATGCAACTTTTAGAAACAACATGTCTGTACCGGGTTTTGAGGTTTGTCTAAAAGGTGACGACTATTCGAATGGCCACAAATAACCTATAAATAGCCTACCTCTCTACCAAAAAATTTTCACCATTTTTATTGCAAACTTTTTGTACTTTGAATCTCATTCCCCTCTCTCTCGTTCTGATATTGTCTCGAAATAAAACACACTTCGTTGAGTTCATTGGAACTCTTGCAGATTGCAGTGCTGCTTTCGTAGGAGACGAAAATTCGTTCTATTCTGAAAAACGATTGTTCGACGCCTTTAACACCATTGAAGGCAGCAAATTTATTTTAAGGAAATATCGTGAAGTTGGTGAGTTCGAATTACATTTTGGATCCTGTTGATCATTTCTTATATTCAAGTGATTCTGTCGAATTGGTTTCGAAGGAGTAATTTCAAACTCTAGAAACAATATATTATCCTTTGTCTTATCCTGTGCAATATTCATAAATTAAAATCAGATTTTAGCATCTACTTTGAAATATTGAACATTGGTGAACATGAAAAACACCACATTTTCACTGAATGATTTCATGTGTTGCTGGACCCCAAAAAACAAAAACAAAAAAACAAAAAAGTTTTACAGTGAACCAACAAAATGGAAATATATTTATCTTCACTGCTAAGTTTTATAGTGAACCAAAAAAAATGGAAACACGTATATTTTCCCTTAATCATGACAAACCATTGCATCAACTTATTCATGCTGCTGCAAGAACATGTGAAGGAATGCAGCCAATTGAGCACGTCCACAAATTCATCAGTCACAATCCTCTGCCAAATTCATCCTGAAACTGTGGGTAATAGTAGGCTGCCGCAACAACGATGAAGTGAAGAATGATGGATTTCATAACAACATTTAAAATTAATTTGGATGTCCACATGTGTAATAAACAACAAATGACTCACGTAGATAATGCCGTTGTTGGGTGTCGCCAGGGTCTATTACAGGTTTAGGAGTACTTCGCCAGAGAAGATGACAGGCTTCTTCGAGGCCGATTTGTCTCGGTTGTCTTCGGATTGGAAATGGCAAGTTTGGTGGGTCTCGGTCTTGGTCTATTTTGGGGGAAAAACAAGTGAAAGAGGCCTAATTTCCCTAATTTTTCTATTGTTGTCTCATTTGTTGCCACATGTCTAATTTTATATTATCTGTACAAAGCCTGTGATCCTCAACCTAGTAAATCGGTATTATTCTTTACCACATAGCATTCTGCACAAACTTGTCTTAACTTCTAGGTAGTCATCATCACATCCTCACACAAAGTAAGAACATTTCTGTACCTTGTCTCAATAGTCGATCATTTTGAGTCAAGAACTCCCAACCGTTGAACAATATGACAAGGAATCTAGTTATTCAAATATATCACCAAAGAAAGAAAATTTATGTACCTTGTCTCAATAGTTTATCATTTTGAGTCATGAACTCCCAACCATTGAACTATATGACAAGAAATCTAGATATTCAAATATATCAGCAACCAAAAACAATCATGAAGAAAATATTAAATCACCACCTAACTTCAAGAACTTTACCCTGACTTCCTCGTTTAACCGATATTAGAATGGACAAAACAATTGCTTCTCTCTCATTCAAGTTCAAACAACACACCTATGTCCTGACTTTACAAAAAACAAGTATTGCACAAACAGAACTGAAATTAAAACACCCATTGAGCTCTATAAATGACGACATTAAGATTTTAGAGTTTTAATGCACCACAACTCTGCATAAAAGCGCGCACAAACAACAAAAGCATAGTACAAGCAAAGTATAATTTAGGGTACTTTCTCTTCTGTACATGCTTCACAGTTTCATTAAAAACTAAAAGATGCACCATTTTAAACAAAAATCACAACACAAAACAAGAACTATGTAAACACTGTGCAAATCATATAAGATGACAATGACATATCAATTCATTTAGACAAATCAACATACACTTAACCCGTACAGACATATCAACATACACTCAACAAGCATATCATGCATCCGTTGAATCGGAAACCTCCAAGGCCAAATCGGGTTCTTCTGCTTCAATGGAATGGCCAAATTGCTGAATCGAGTTCTTCTGCTTCCAAGGGTAACGATTAAAGAGTTCTGCTCCTTCAATGGAATGGCTGAATGGGTTTTGGCGTTTTGCAAAGGGCAACTAGAGAATGAAGGCTAAATCTGATTTTGGCTTCCTTCTACTTTGGCTTCAACGTTTTGAACGTGACCCACCAGGACCCACTGTAAGCCCACCAATGCTTAGAAGTAAATAAGTACATTTTGAAAGAGAGAACGTATTTAGTCAAAGTTGAATACGAATAACTTACTCATTTTAAAAATAAAAAGCAACTCTTTCCTTACACGTACGTAAGAATCTTCAAATATTGATTACAAGAAACAATGTGGTGGAAAGTAATATATAGACAAAGCAACAAAGAAAAGTTCTATAGGACAATATTTCCAAGCAAAACATGTCCAGCGTAGTTCTAATATTTCACAACATTTAAGCATCATAAATTGTAGAGATATACAACTCAGAATTTGGACCTCTCTCGACAAGTCACCATAAGAACAAAACATAACCACCATTTGACCTTGCCATAACATTCTGATCAATCATACAAGTAAAACTAAAACTACGCAAGACTAGTAATCTTTCATGACTCAACGCCAATATCTGCATTTCCCTGACCTGTGGAGCGGGAATTTTCTGTAGTCTCTTTCATTTGTTGCAGACGATCCTTGACTTTGCCTGTCGCATTTACATTGCGAACACCAACCTGACTCTTGCTTTTGGGAGTTGTACTCATAGGAGAGGGTTTGCTTTCCCTGAAAACACCTATGCTTTGACGAGTTGTCCGATAAGTTCCCTTTTCAACCGGAGATGATTTCACTGCATCACTGCAGCTCTTTCTCCGGGTTAGATTTGGTGATTTGGCACGTGTCACTGGCAGCTGAAATTCAACCAAAAGAGTACCTTTTTCTTTCTTTTTTGTTTATGGAAATGGGAAATATAATCTATTATTGGAAAACACTTAAAAGTATGGAAACAAAGGCGGATTCTCCATGTACCTTCTTAAGTTCAACCTTTGGGGGAGGGCCTTCACGATAAAAATTAGGAACTGGATTTGCTTTATATGCCATGGTCTTTCTAAGCTGCTTTATAGCTGCTGCTGCTTCTTCCTGCCAATTAGGATAAGAGGATAAATTTAAAAAAAAAAAACAGAAGATTGAGAAGGGTAGAGAGAAGAATAACAAAGACCAACCGTAGTAGATATGCACATGACACGTGAGGAAAAAAATTGGATCCAAAACCAAAAGTACAATGCAATACAATGGGTGGAGAATGATGCAAGGAGAGGTATACCTTGGTTCTTGCTTCATATTCAAGTTTCTCTTGCTCCAACGCTTTATGTTTTTCTTCCAACTTGGTGTAAAACTATCATGGAAAATGGAACCAAGAATAAAAAAATAAATGCTAAAAGGAAAAGAAATGAAAACAGATCACACAATGAACTTCATTATGTAACTAAAGTACCTCCTTGCGTCTCTCTAAACGCTCCATACATCTAAATGTTGGAGCCACCGGAACTGTAACTCTGGATTTACTACGTACAGATGTTGCAGTACTATAAACGATAAGGAGAACTCCAATTGCAAGAGCACACGAAATACAAGAAAACAAGCTCAAAAAAATAAAGAAAGATTCTGATAACAGAATTTAATAATAATAATAATAATAATAAAGAGGATACGAGGAAGCCAAGGACCAATTATCATCTTCATAATCATATTTCTTGTCATCAGTTTTCGGTGTCTTGCTTGACACGGTAGGAGAATATGGCTGAACAAGATTGGAATTGAAACCTCAGGACTAAATACAAATGTCCAGCCCAACAAAATATCTCTATTGCATAATAATCTATATATGTACCTAACCTCGTGTAATATGAATCAATTATTAGTCAAACACCATACCAATTTAGAACCACATTTTACATAGCCAATGTTGTGTTATTAGTTAGACACCATACCAAATTTGGAACCACATTTTACATGGCTGATGTTGAGCCAAAATGCTCCATGATTTACAGGCAACAAGGGTTGCATGAGAATGTTGTCCTCAAAAGATGACAGTCTGTTTGGTCCTGCAAAAGTCATGATGTTCCATTCTCTCCTTCCAAACTTCTTACCAGTGTAACTTAAAAAAAACCAGCATTCAACTCTATGACCTAGTAGAGCAAAACCAACTTATCATTAGGGCACAAGCTACTAGCCAGCTCGCCAACGGCTCAGCTCAACTCACTAAAAGGAGAGCTTGTGGGGTGAGCCAAGCCACACTTTTGTTGAGAGAGCTGACTTGCTCCCCCCATTTAACACCCCTACTTATCATGCCTGCTAGATAATTATATAGAATATGCTACTTGTACATAATGCTATGTCCATACCGGTGTTCACCCCTCTCACATGGAGGGGGACCCATTTTGGATAAATTATATTTTATTCGAAGTGGACCCCCCTCCATGTGAGGGGCATGGATACCGATATGCACACCCTGATGTACGTGAAGCATCATCCTAATTATATTGGATAGGATGACTAGAGTAATTTATACCTCAACACATCCTAAACTTCTAGGCTCAGGTATTAACTTCCCCCCGGCTAGGATGACTTGGATGAGATTGATGACACAGACATCTTAAGAAACTTAATTAACTTTGTTGTGATAAAAACAGTTGGCTAGAAAAGAGAGACAAATACGACAGTATTGAAAGAACAGACTTACTAGTGAATTTTTCGCGGTTGTGGGGGAATGTAAATCACTAGTCTTTGATAGATATGGTAAACCAGAATCTACAGTTTCAATACCATTGGCATGATTTAGGAATGAAGTTTGTTTCCCAGACTCAAGACCAGGTGTTAGCGGCTCCAAAGAATTCATATTTACTGTCCCATTAACAGAAGACCCTGATGCAGGCTTAACTGGATTGCCTAAATTTTTGTCATCTGACTTCTGAGCCTCAGCCTTCAAGATTTTCTCCCTGGGATCATGATTTATGCTTTTCAAACCTAGAACATCCTGCTTCTCGTTACATTCATCAGCAAGTGTACCTTTTGCAGTATGATCCACTGCTTCATAGCTCTTTGTTTCATCTCTTTCTGGTACAACTTTAGGAGCAACATGAACTACACCATGAAAGGTACCATTTGACTTTGCATTGACAGCACCTGGTTTCTTGTCAATGTGTAAACCTGCAACATCCCTCCCCATCTGCCTGCATGAATTTAAGGCAGAGCATAAAAATGAATTACTTTAAATAATAATTCTCCATTTTCTGTAATGTTAAATGTTGTTTTATAAGATTACATATAAGAATTTTAGTAGAGAAAATAAAAGTGGTTCCAACGTTCTTTCGCGCATGATTGGGAGAGAGACTATCGACATATTAAAGAGAAGATGCTAGACAGGAATGTGGAACTAGTGCCAACTGTCGAAATATACAATGCAAGCCACCAAATAAATAAAGAATAATAAAGAAAAGTGCCCAAGAATATTAAAAGATAGTTTAATCGATTACATCCCATATTGTAATAAAGCAAAAATTTAGAACCTTGAGAGAAACCTGACCCTCACCCAACCAACAAAAAAAATATGAAAGAAAAGAGTGTGGGCTTTGAGGAAAAGTTCAAGGGCAGGGGATATGTTGGCTCATTGCATAGTTACACTACTATCAATCTGAAAGTAGCCCCATTTGGAAAAACATCAATTTCAATGCCAAAAAGGCTCAATGACACGCACCAAACCTTTGCACTATCCGTTCCTTTTGACCATCGATGACATGATGACATCTAAAGAAACTAGAACCCATTTCAAGCATCTGAAATGTTGTTAAGAGCCCTTCCAATTCTTTATACACTATTGCTAACCTAAGAGTTTTGCATATGAACATAAATGAAACAAGTAACGAAACATTCAAGCCCTGGCAAAAAGGGACAATTGCCTTTCAATTTAAAGTAGAAACTAAAAGAAAAGGAGATGAAATTATAGAGCCCAAACTGAAATTCAAAATAAATTCGAGAGAGGATAAATTCAAAATAAATGCGACCAGCTTCACAAGAGCATCAAGCAACAGAAATTCAACCCACCATCTAACTCTTAACACCAAACAAATATAATTTAAAAGTTGGCAAAGCATTAAAAGGCCCGATGGTTTCACCCATCGAAATAGGTGGAAAATGTAGCAAAAATCGAAGAGAAAAAATATTTCAAAATAATTCCCATTTTCAATTCCACTCTCGTATACCAAAGTTATAATAAAAATCCCACCGAGAAAATATAAATTAAAAAAAAAAAAAAAGATTGCATGCATCGGACTGAAAACCCAAATCTCTCATTTTTCTCCCCGCTTCAGCATAACAAGAAAATACCAAGATATGCATCGAGCTCCCACGGAATTTTACATATATTTTTAGTACATAAAGATATTTATACAGAGAGATCAGAAAGAGAGAGGAACCAGAAGAAGAGTGCTCAGCAGCGGGCACGAAGGTAGAGATAGATGCGGAAAGGCAACAAGTAGATCGAACCAAAGAACACAAGACGTGCATGAAGTGGTTGACAATTAACGAGCTACTAAACAATTAATAACAAAAAAATAAAAAATTCTTACAGGCGAATTTTTTTTATCTTCTTTCTGCTTCCGATCTGGCTGACAAGATCTCCGAGCACCACCTCCACCTGAAACCCAACGTGACCACAACTCTCTCTCTCTCTAAGAAGCGAATGTTTTCTTATAGCAATTTCTCCTTTCCTTTTTGTTTCCTCTTTCAGCTCTCTGGTTAGTCTTCAATCTCGAAACCGTAAATCACGGACTGCTTCATTTTTCATTTATATTTGTCTCTCATTTTCTTTTCTTTTTTCGTTTCATTTTTTTAAATATCGCTGTACTTGAATTATTTCGTCCATTTTTTAAAATTTATTATTTTCAAATTAAATAAGTTACCGTTTGGTCGCATTATTTGCTATTTTAATTTTTGCAATAGTATTTCCTTGAAAAATGTGTAGTTAAAAAATGAATAAAAAATTTTGAGTTTACGTGTAATATTATTTTATTGGGAAATGTGTGATTGATAAGAAGAGAAAAATGAATTATAATTTTAACGGGGCTAATTTTGCTCATAAAATTCGTAATTTTTTCTTTTTTTTATCACAAGCTTTTCACTAAATCTATTATATATATATATATATATATATTTAACAAAAATCTAACAAACATGGGCTAGACGTCGTTTGAGCCACATTAATATAAAAATGAGAATAAAAAATATAATCGTTACAGACCTCATACAAGAAATAGAAAGTCAAATATGATGATTCGATGTGATGAATATCAATCATATTTTTCATTTTAATGAGCAAATAATAAAAAACAAATATGGGCTAAATTACTTATCAAAATTAAAATCTTCTCTAAATTACAAAATTAAATAAAATTAGAATTAATTGACCGATAACTGTAAGTTTACTTAAATGTATGATTAATAAAATCGTTACAGACCCCATACAAGAAATAGAAAGTCAAATATGATGATTCGATGTGATGAATATCAATCATATTTTTCATTTTAATGGACAAATAATAAAAAACAAATATGGGCTAAATTACTTATCAAAATTGAAATCTTCTCTAAATTACAAAATTAAATAAAATTAGAATTAATTGACCGATAACTGTAAGTTTACTTAAATGTATGATTAATAATCAAGTTTGACTATTAATAAATTTGGTCGAATGGAGGCTCAAACAATTCCACGTCAATTTTACTAATTTTTCACGCTTTCAATAAAAAAATTTGAAAAAAATCCCTCCCATTGTTATGGTTAATTATTGTTAGTAGGTTGACTGTCAATGTAAAATTTTGCCACTCAATAAGGTTAGTTGAAAATGATTAAAACCTACCAATGAAGAATTTGGATGATTGTGAGGTTAATTAACGACGTTAAGGATGAGGATTGAATTTCGGAAACTTGAAATGAAAAGTCAAAAAGGGGGACAGAATTGGGTGGTGAGAATTGATTTGTTAGTTTTGAAATTGAAAGGTTGGAGTGAGTCAGAGCAGACGACAGGTAGAAGTCTGACTTTCACACTCAGTGCCCCAATGTCTCGTTCCTACGATTCAGGCCATATCCAGCGCTGTATCAAAATTTACACGATTTGATATCAAAATTTGAACTAAATTAAAATTCATTTCTACTCATTACGTCAAAACTTGCACCAAATGAACATTATTTTATTATTTTATTCATTCTTTCGATTTTTGACAATGTACTTATTTTAAAAAATTATTTATTTATTTTATAACATATAAATTACTAAATAATAACTTCGTTAAATTAACAAATATATTGAATTATTATTGATTATTAAATAATTCAGATGTTTTATATATTATGTTAAATTGAATAAAATAATTGATTATATTATTAATTTATTATAAACAATTACATTAAACTTACAAAAATAATTACTAAATTAAAAATTCCTTAATTATTATTAATTATATTATTAAAAATAATAAACTTTAATAATATAATTAATAATGCAATTAATTATTATTATTATTATTATTATTATTATTATTATAGAATAAAAATGACATAAATATCTTTAATTATTATTTTTGAAAAATAAAAAAAGTGGCAAAACGGACGTTGCACCATTTGGTGCAAAAAATGGTGCACTGATCATGTTGCACCATTTTGGTGCGTTGGAGGGAGATTTGTACCAAAATTTGGTATAATTTGGTGCAATAGGACACCCATTGGAGATCATGTTGCACCAAAATGGTGCAAATATTGGAGGGAGATTTGCACCAAAATTTGGTACAATTTGGTGCAATAGGACACCCATTGGAGATGACCTTGTATAGCTTTCCCTTGCATTACAATATTTTACTTTTTATTATAAAAAGTAATATACAAAATAATATATTATGATAACTTTGTCTCGCCTAAAAGAACTTTTATATTTAAATAACATTTATAAATAATTGTAAGTAATGATAAATGAAGATTTTTTAAATTTCCATCCCACGTCATGAAAATTCTTGATGGGACAATTATGAATAGTATGTAGTTAAAAAATAAGAAAAAGCAAATTTGTGTATGACATTATTCTATTGAAAAATGTGTGATTTGAAATGAATTCAAATAATTGTTCAGTAATATATTTTGATTAAAAAAAAAAAGGCCCAAACAAGGGCAAAGTAAATTTGGTAAAATATTTATATTTTTAGTGTTAATCACTTTATTCTATTTCTAGTCTAATTATTATTTAACAGATTTCAATTACCAGGTGATACGTTGAACATAGTATTTAATATTTTATTACTCTATTTAAAAATTCAATATCTACAGTAAGTTGAAAACTCCATATTGATCTTAAATTAGTATTTTTCATTGCTATTTTGTTTCCTATGAATTTTCCATTTATAATATTTATTTTTATTCTTTTGTTTAGTGTCAATATTTATGTCAACAAATTAAATACATTAAAAGAAAATTTTTAAAACCTGTTTGGAAGTGATTTTGAGAATTGATTTTTTGACCATTAGAAAAAAAGTGGGGTCTACTGTGAGAAAAGAAGTCAAATATGACGATTGTAATAGTGAATTAACGATCAAAAAATTAATTTTTGAAGGAAAAAATCACTTCCAAACAGGTTCTTAATGATTATCAACAAAAAATTTAACACGTATAACGAAATTTTCTAAAATTTGAAATCTTTATATGGACCTTCGATCGTCTTATTTTAAAAGCTGAACCGACTTTAATTCAATAACACATTTAATATCATATAAATTCAAGTCCATACGGTAATTATTTCGATCCATTTAATATTAAGGGGTTCCTATCAGGGAGGCGGAGCAAAACCCTAATATTAATTTAATATATATTTATGGCTCTTGCTCCCATTAAAGAGGATGATGTTTACTCAACGTGAACGTCTTTAATCCGTCACGCGAGGGAGCTTGTGTGCGTTTGAAGTCGTTGCATTGATATGATTGGTTAATGGTTATGACTACCAATACACACACGCGCGTCTAAGGTCAAGTCTTATTCATATTGATGTTAAGCGTCCCTACGTTGCAACTTGCAAGGCATAATTGCAATGAGGTCTGCCCAATCCATTTGGGTGGGTCCCATTAAAAGTTGTGATTATACATTTAGCTCCCGTTTGAACCACATTATTGTAAAAATAAGAATGAAAAATATGGTCGTTATGGATCCCACATAAAAGATAAAAATTCAAATATAATGGCTTGATGTAATGGATAACAGTCATATTTTTCATTTTAATGAGAAAATAATGGGGTTCAAACAGGGCTTATGCTCGATTGTAAATTTGAAGTACATTTTGAGGGTGTTTGATGAAAATTAAAATTAAATTTTTTAGTAGATTGTAGTAGAAATTTTTGAAATTTGTGGTTAAAAAGTTTTTGGATTCATTAAATATGTGGTTAATATTGATTGTTTGACTTTGATTTTGATTAAAATCAGATTAAAATCCAAACCAAATGGACTTATAATTTTTTAGCTAAATCAAATGGGAACTAAGGTCCTGTTTGGGAGCGATTTTGAGAATTGATTTTTTTATCGTTAGGAGAAAAGTGGGGGCCGCCTGTGAGAGAAAAAGTCAAACTTTACGTTTGAAATAGTGAAATAGCGATAAAAAAATCAATTTTTTGGGGTGAAAAATCACTCCCAAACGGTCGCTTAAAATAACGATTTTTTTATTTTTTATTTTTTTTTCTCACTCTTGCACTGCATTGCTTGAAAAGTTTAAAAAAGAAAGATAGAAAAGAAAAAAGGACAAGGCTTCTTATTTTGTTAATCTAGTTTGAAATTTGATCATTTCTCTGGATCCACGTTGTCGTAGTAAAATTGCTAAGATGTACATACCATATTTCACAGCTATTAAAGTTTATTGCTGACAATTGTAGAAAGACATGAACAATAATTGTACATTATTGTCTATCTTTATAAATAATAAATTTTTCATCGACCAATACATATATGATGTAGCTCAAATGCCTAGAAATGCGACCATTTACTTAGCCTTCGAAATAACATGGACGCTGGACAACCAATCTAGATTATACATAAGATTTAATTATGACCACGTGAGCGCTTCTCTATGGATACTAGAGTCCGACTATATACTTAGCCACTATCTGTCTACCATTAATTCATAAATCTCTTTTTTTTTCGCAATAAAATATTTTACACCTAAATTTAAATTTTTTTCTATTTTTTAACCACACATTATCAAAAAATTCATGATTCCAAAACTCATTTTTCCTACTTTAATGATAAACAAACACGGGCTTGATATCACAACTTGTGTAGATTTATTTGATCAAGTTGAACTTAACCACCCCTTTCCTTGGACCTCGAGTTGATTTTAGTAATGTAAATGGTCATGTCTAACTGATAAGTGTGTTTTTACACACTTATTTGGTTCATAAACATGACTTAAATACGGATAAAATGGTTGAATTGTGACTTAATCCAGTTAAATTCATACATTGTAGGTAATTCAATGGAAATTGTGGAATTCAGGAGAAAAGAGCCGAAGAAGGACCAAAATGCAACAATTTGATAGTTCGAGGACCAAAGGTGCAAATATTGAGAAGTTGAGCTAAATGCAAAACGAGAGTAAAAACATGCCAAGTATGAGCTCAATGACAAAGCAAAACAAGTGGAGGAAGAAAGAATGGAAGATGGACTAAAATGAAGATAATTGAAAGTTGGAGGACTAAAGTGCAAATACTCAAAAGATGTGCCGAATGAGTGGCATAATATTTGAAAGTATCGATCATCAATTGGAAGATAAGAATTGTTGAAAAGATAAAAAAAATCGAAGAAAG